GGAAGGAGAGCATAGCAGTAAGTTGCAGAGAGGCCCAACCTTAACCCCTCGACCCCACCTAAATAAAATTGCCACTGAAATCATGGAATCCCAACATAGATGTGAATAATAATACAAATTAAGGTCATCAATAGGCAGTTCAAGCTGATCAGCTGAAGCAAGAATATAACACCCAGCCCCAGTTGACCTGATTTCTACATTCCAGGAAGTGTCTCTCTCCTTCCCAAGAAGGCTGGCTTCATTGAATTCTACAGCTGGGAACTTTTATTACTTTCCTCCCCAATATTAGACCATATTAGGAGGGCATGGGGAAACCCCCCCCCCCAATATTCCAGAACTGCTCCCCCTTTTCCACAAGTGGGCCCAGCAAAATGCCCTTTCTGCCCCCCATCCCGTTTCCAGTCCCTGTAACATTTCCGGAAAGCAAAAGTGTCTTTTAAGAATAAATCAACATTCGGATAGCAACTAAATCCCCAAGAGATTGTGCGTCTCGGCGATGCTTTTCCTTTCAATCTTTGAGCTTAAGAACTTAAAGCCAAAAAGGAAAAAAAAAACCTGCTGTGGATAAGGTGGAGTTGATTGTTTCAGAAAGAAAAAAGATATGAGGGGGGAAAGGCATACTGAGCCTGGCTAGGACAATCAGGCAGGAAAAAGTGGATAAATAAACTGTCTATTTTTCTAACTACATAAATTTTAGCTAAGACCTTTTGTTAAGGGTTTGAAAATAAATAAATAAATCCAGCACATCTTTTGACATCCCCTCTGCCTTCTTGAGTACTGGGAAGACCAAGAGGCTGAATTGTGGAAGGAAGTGTTGGACAAAGAGCGCTGAAACTGACTCAGTTTCTTTTCCCAGGAAGTCACTTGTGGACAACTCCACCCAACCTGGCCTGGGCACAAATCCTGCAGGGCGGGGGGCTACAGATGGAAATGCAACAGGGTGTCAGAAGAATTTTGTTGGGGTGGGGCGGCGAAGGGAAGATGCCTAAGAAGAGACAAACTTTCTGTTGCAGTGCGAAATTTTGTACAGGGAGGGGGAAATCCATTAATTTCAGTTTCTCAGATTTTGCGGGGGGGGGGGTTGCGTCATTTCCATTCTTAAGTTCTCCACATTTCCAGGTTGTGGCTGGGCGGAGCAAATATTGTTTCGTTTTAGGGAGTGTGACTTAGGCAGGTTTGTCTTTAAACATGAACCAAATTGGATTCCTTCCCCCTTCTAATTTTGTGTAGGGGATCCAGAGGTAGCTTGGCCTGAGGGCAGGATCCAGAGCATCGCTGAGGGTGATGGATCCAGCCCAGGGAGTGGGGAAAGGCATAGCAGACCCAACAGGAACGTCTCCTGCACAAACAACAGGGCTATACATTTATTTTTTGCGATTATGTTTATATCCCCCCCCCTTCCTTCCTAAGGAGCAGGGGCGGGGGGGGGCAGGCATCAGTAAGTGATCAAACAGTCTTTAAAAGAATTGCAAAGAGCAATTCTGATGCAGATGCAGATTGGGAAGATCTCTGCTTCAAAGGCTTGTTGCAAGAGGAGGTGCCCAAAAGACATTTAAGGGAAAGGGAATTCCAAAGGGCCTACATTGGGCAGAAGGAAACTCCCGAAAAGGTGGCATCACCTACAGAGTAAATGGGACTATAGCGGGGGAGACAGCCTTTCAGGTCTCCTGATCCCACACTCTATAGGGCCTTTTACACCTTGAACTTCGCCCAGTCGGTCGCTAAGTGGCAGCTGGTGAGAGTGGCACATGCGGGTCGCACAGGAGAATTTCCTGTTGGATCAGGGCCCATGCAAATTACTCGCCACCTCCCGAATCAATATAATCCCAGGAGGCCACAAATGCTTATGCCGCAATAAGGTGTGCAAGGCCAGTTTTGCAGGGAGCAAAAATGATGGTTCAGAAACACAAACACGCCCCCCCCCAGCCTCCCCCCCCCCCAGCAGCATTCATTTCAGGCCACTTTAGAAAAGCTTCCCCCTTCCAAAAATCATTTGCTGTGCAGCTGGGACCGGGGACAGTTTTCAGCCAGTGAGCCGCAATGTCATCGTAGGCAGTCTTTGGAACAGCAGGACACATGGTGCTGGGGATGGGGAGGGTCTCAGATGCAAAACTGGGTGACTCCTCTGCACAAACAGCTACATCCTAGCTGCACAAGGGTTCACACACACACACACACACACACACACCCCATTCTCCATCCAGGCCACGAAGAGGCAGCCTCAGAGGAAGTTGCAGGGCCAGGCCAGCGAGGAGGGGGCTGGGGATAGCCCTGAGGGCCCCACAGAATTATAGTGGGAGGCATTTGCTCCCTGGGTCTGGGGCTTCCCATCCAGATGTGGGAGTGGGAGATTCATGTCCCTACCCACACTGTGACAGGAGAAGTCCCATTGAAATCAATGCACCATTGAGCCTGCTCTTCATACGGCACAGGGGACACAATCCTGCCCCCACTTTCTCTGTATCTCAAAACTGCAATGATTGCTACTCTGCCACAACCCTCCCTCCCTCGCTCCTTTTATACCTCACCCTCCTATCACCATAATTAAGTTGGCTGCGGAGGTCCTGGGGGAAAACGCAGAAGGAAAAGAACAATCCACAGCATGCCATTGGGAAAACTGAGGCTCGAAATCCTTAACAGCTCATTCTGCCAGTGGGCAGAAACTCATTTTATAAGGAGAACATCTCTGGCTGGCTGGAACAGGACATCTGATTGCAAGTCCCGTTTGTGTTGCTATGTAACTGAAGGCTTGCAACCCGGACATTGTTACAAGGGCACAAACTGGGGGTAGAGGCTGGTCCATTCACGTAAATGGGACATTGCCCCCCCCTTTCCTGCCTTGCAGGCCTGTCAGCTTCCTGCTGCTCCGTGGGCTCAGTGTCCCCCGTGCAGAACTCAGAAGGAGGCAGGAGAAGGGGACTCCCAGTGGGAGCTTCAATCCCTGGTGGGGCTTCAAAGGGACTCCCTGTCTGCAGCCCTGCAGCCCCTGTTGCCCCACAGAGTGAGAGGGACTCATGGCCACTTCCTCAGTTCCTCTTTGAAACAATTGCCTTATTCAAGGCCATGAGGTCTAGAATCTTTGCCTTTGGGGGCAGGACCATCCCTTGGCTTGGTAGAAGGTTACCCTAGATATATGTGTGTGTGTGTGTGTGTGTGTGTGTGTATGTGAGAGAGAGAGAGAGAGAGAGAGAGAGAGAGAGAGAGAGAGGAGGGAGGAAGTAGTGGCACAAGACAGGTGTCTCCTCGTCCGCCTGATCCAGGGATTTAGCCAGGATCAGGGCTCTTGTAGTGGAGCTCGGCAGACACAGCGTTGCGCCAACTTGGAAAGCAGCAGGCAGACCAGGAGCCTCTGACCGCTTCCGCCTGCTGGTATCCCCCTTGGACCTGACATCTCAGGAAAAGGGACCAGGTCTGCCTTGCTCCCCTGCCTTCTTCATTTTCTTCACTGAAAGATTTCAAATCTGAGGTACTAGCACCCCACCCCCTGCTTTTGAACAGCTACAATCAACTTTTGGGAATAATTAAATTGCACTAAATTGTACCCGAGACAATGAGCTGGTCTGGGATTCTACTCCCAAATTGTTGATATTTTATTGTTGTTAATTATTATCTGCAAAAGGGGCATTTTTTTCTTTTGCCTTAGAGAGGCAGGGAAGATGGCCCTCTCCCTAGGGGACTAAGGATTCCCTTACTGCAACCCTAAAGGAGGGATGGAAAGACCCTTTCCCATTTTAAATTCAGCTTTCCACATTTCTGCCACAGCTTGCAAGAGAAAAAAATTACCGGTAATCCTGATGAAAATTCTCTAGCATTCTAATGCAAATTTATGCTAATAATCATATTTTGGTATGCAGTTTTTACTTAACAAACACATTTTTGAAAGAAATTTATCCTAACGTAATGCATCATTGAATGTTATTTTCATATGCATATATTCAATTTTATGCACACTTTCCTGTAATATGTTCATTTTTTTAAAGGTTGGTTGGTTGGAGAATGCATCAAAAATAGGGTGTTGCGGATCTCATACAGCTTTGAAAACTGCAAATTTGATAGATTGCTCTTTAAATGCATCAAATGCATCCTTAGCCTAAAGTCATAGATGACATTTCAGGTTGGGGTCGGGATGCAGAAGGGAGACACATGCTCTAAGTTTGACCCTTGGCATCTCCAAGCACAATGAGGTCCTGTCAAACCAGACACCTGCTGCCAGTCAGTGTGGGCAACAGAGTTATGAGGACCAGAATCCTATTTCATTTTTAGGCGAAGAACACTAGCTCAGAGCTAGAACACTTGCTTTGCACGCAGAATGTGGCGCGCATTAATGGGTTAATTGCGATTTCTCTCAGTTTCTCATTTTCCAATCTCAAGCTCAGTTCTCCGTTTCCACCTCAGTTTGCAAAAATATTGTTTAAAGTGAGTCTTCATGAAAATCCATCAACATTTCATGGCAAATGCACATTTCTGTATGCAATTTCCCCAAGCACCCACACATATTTTTGCAAAGTGATTTCTTCTGATATAACGTGGGTTTCATGGGTTATTTTCACTAGTTTGTGAATTTCTGAGACACACTTTTAGCTCAGTACAAACATTTTTGTACAGCTTGCTTGGCTCCTGCATTGCATTGCAAAATTTGGGTAAGTGGAAAAATTCAAACGATGGCTATGTTTTGCTTTCTGCAAAACACCAGAAAGTTCTTCGCAATGTTTAGCCTAGAAACTCGGTTTACTAAACCTCTTGGCTAATTGCAATCATTCATATAGAAAGCGGACTAGCCCTTGGCGGGCCCTTTAAATTTCTGCACTGGCTCTGCAGCCGCCATTGACCAGCGAAGGAGGAACCAAGCAACCCATCGCTCCTCTACCCATCTCCTCTCCTAATTGCCTGCCGGGAATTCCTGGCCACCGCTATGTGACCCACTATATCTGCCCCTGAAAAGTACGCTGCTCAGAACTATCCGGAGCTCTCTGACTTTTCTGCGCAGATCGACGGGCGAGATGTTCCTCAGCAAGTGCGAGGGGGAGCTGAGCGAACTGCCGAAGAGCGTGGACAGCGAGGGGACCACGCCGGAGAACCTGGACGAGGAACAGCCCAAGAAGAAGCACCGCCGGAACCGGACCACCTTCACCACCTACCAGCTGCATGAGCTGGAGAGGGCCTTTGAGAAGTCTCACTACCCGGACGTCTACAGCCGCGAGGAACTGGCCATGAAAGTCAACTTGCCAGAGGTCCGGGTTCAGGTGAGCAAGAACAACGAGGAGCAGATGGCGCTGCCATGATGGAGTCAGACCACCGGTCCATCGACAGCAGCCTCTCTCAACCGTGGGTCTCCAGGTGTTAGGGGAACTGGGTGCTTTTAATAAGGGGGCTGGGCTGTTTCTTCCTCTTCTTCTTTGAATTTATATACCACCCTATACCCAGGGGTCTCAGAATGAAATCAAGATATAAAACCACAAAATGCATAATAAAAATAACATCAACCCAATAGCTCCCCCCCAAAAAAAACCACATTTTAAAAGGGCATAGGATGTAAATCAGATCAACCAAAGGCCTGGTTAAAAAGGAACGTTTTTGCCTGGCGCCTAAAAATGTATAGTGAACTTCCCTGGGGAGAGCATTCCACAGACAGGGAGCCACTGCAGAGAAGGCCCCGCTCTCGTGTTGCCACCCTCCGCGCCTCTCAAGGAGGAGGCACACGAAGAAGGGCCTCAGAAGATGATCTCAGGGTCCGGGTGGGTTGATATGGCAAGAGGCAGTCCTTGAGGTATTGTGGTCCTGAGCCATTTAAGGCTTTATTGGTCAGAACCAGCACCTTGAATTGGGCTCAGAAACTAATTGGTAGCCAATGCAGCCGGACCAGGATGGGTGTAAGCTGCTCAAACTGTCTTGCTCCGGTGAGCAGCCTGGCCGCTGAATTCTGCCCGCTGAATTTATTGCAATTATATAGTTTTTATCAATGTTTAGTTTATAGATAGATAGATAGATAGATAGATAGATAGATATAGATAGATAGTTTTTCTGTTTTTATCAATTCTTGTTTTTAAACTGTAAGCCACCTTGAGTGCCGTCAGGGGGAAAGGCAGAGTGCCAGTAAATATATAATAGCAACAACAACAACGAGGATGCTGATGCTGATGATGCCTTGGATGCTTTGAGAAGGTGCGTCTCCTTTTCGCAGGTCTGGTTCCAGAATCGGAGGGCCAAGTGGCGCCGGCAAGAGAAGATGGAGGCCAACTCCATGAAGCTGCACGATGCCCCCATGCTGTCGTTCAACAGGCCCCCCATGGCCCCCAATGTGGGGCCCATCGGCAACTCCCTCCCCTTGGACCCCTGGCTGACCTCGCCCATCTCCAGCGCCACGGCGGTGCACAGCATCCCGGGCTTCATGGGCCCCACGCAAGGCCTCCAGCCGGCCTACACAGGGCACTCCTTCCTCAACAGCCCACCCGCCATGCCCCAGAGCATGCAGCCCATGGCGCCCGCCGCCTACCAGTGCGCCACCACGTTTGTGGACAAGTACCCTCTGGAGGACGTGGACCAGCGCAGCTCCAGCATCGCTTCGCTGCGGATGAAGGCCAAGGAACACATCCAGACCATTGACAAAACGTGGCAGCCCATTTGATGGCGGGGCAGGTGACCCACCGTGCCAAACCCTGGCCAGGAAGGGGGACAGAGGAAGGAATCGACACCGCCTGGTCTCTCGCCAGGCGACTCTCAGCTTCTTCCATCGCAGCCAATGACTCTGACGTGGCCTCTCAGGCACTGCGGACGGCGTTTCCGCTTCAAGCCAGCTGGGTTTACGCTGGCTAATGGCGATGGTTTCGCTCGAATGAGAGAATTTAGCACCACGGACTCAAATACTGAAGTTATTGCTCTCCCCACTTTCCCTCTGACTCTGGTTGGGCAGTGGGATTAGGAGGAGGGAATTCCCCACAGGGAATCTTCTCCTTGCATGGATCTGAGCTGTGGATCTGAGCTGTGGATTGGACTGGTTGGATTCAGTGATTCCTGCACCCCCTGGAAAGGGGATATCAAAAACAAGAAAGCGAAGGCTGTGATGGAGATTGCAAAAACAGGACCAGATGCCCTTGGCAAGGCTGTGACATCGCACCAAGTCACTAGTCCTCATAGAGGGCAGATTCAGTCTTGGAGCAACTGATTTGTATTGATTGCAGGAGAACAAAATGACTATTAACCATCCCGACTGGCACCCATCAGTTGTAAATCCCTCCAGGCCAGATGGACAGCCCCTTTGTTTCGACCCAAAAGCAGCCAGCTACTCCAAAGCAGATTGCATTCCAAAGTGGAAACACCACTTTCTGTTTACACATCCATTTTCCTTTCTCTCTGTGTGGGTTTCACTTGCTCTGCTTTCTGTTGGGTAGACATTTTTCTCTGGTGTTTGTCTCAGAATTGCCACATTTGGTGTGATTTCTATGCAGCAGAGTTCAGCCAACAGAATGAAGGAGGGGAAAATATTTTGTTTAATAATTTCTCACTTTCTCACTTCTTTCAATCCATCTCAGCATAGTGAGAAAGACCGGTGTCTGCTCAGTCTGCTACTCAGATGCCTTTTGCTGGTCTCAATGCAGGACAGAGAGGTTTGTGCGTGTGTTGAAACTCACTTACTGTACAAACGTACCAGGGGCATCCACTGTTCCACACCTTTTGCCTTCACCCACCCCTGGGACTCTCCACCCCACACTGAAGAAGGGAATGAGACACTCCTCACCTGCCTTCAGCAGCCGGTTTGCTCCCCAGGCTCACGTTCCCAGTCTGTCAATATGCAGTTAGCAGCACTGGTCCTGACTGGTGCTTGTTGCCCCAAAAGAACGGGAGCTGGGGGGCGGGGGGGGGGGGGTTGGGAATTAAAGGCTGCCTCAACCCCCTCATTTCTCATTTGAGGTGGGTTGTAGGGCTTACCCAAAAAGTTGCATTTTGCACATGCTAACTGCTCCAATCTTTGCTCTTATAGCAGCTCCTCACCCCCTTAGATTGCAGAGTATGGGGGGGGGGTGTAATCATCATTAGGAGTGCAATCCCACTTAACCTTTCCCCTGTTATTAATCCTAATGAAAATTGCCCCCGTTCCGCCGGAAACATTTGCAACTGAAGAAAGGGTCTACGGCTGCAGCAAAGCATTGTGGTTGCTCCAGAAGCAGGCCCTCCTTGACCACTGGGCATGCTGGTTGTTGCTGGGAGCAGGAAGGTTGCGGGTTCCTCATGCCTGTAAACCACCCTCTTCTGCTGTTTCTCAGAGTCTCCTTCCTTCCTCTCCTGGTCCAGCTGCCGCCTCGCACCTCGTCTCCCCTTCCACCGGGTGGGGGGGGGGCGTCAGACCCGATTCCATATTGCACGCCTGGCTGCCCCCACAACAAAAGGGGCCTGGCCAGGGCTGCTTCTCCCAAGCCCCACCGACCCCCACGGGCCACTATTGTTGCCTTGCGACAGATGCGAGACTCTGGGGTGCCCCACGGCGCTCGTTAGGGGGAATCTGCTCACCCATCACTCTGCCGGAGTCTCCCAGGTGGGGCAGGGAGGGCCCGTCCCTCCGCCCCAGCCGACCAGGCTGTCACACCAAGCGGGTTGAGACTTTCCTGGCAAAGGGCTCCCACTTCCCAGCCGCCACGATCATAGTGTGGAGGCAGGAATCCTTCTGAATGCCAGAGGCTGGGAGCCTGGGGCTGGGAGAGCGCTCTTGGGCTCAGATCCTTGTGGCAGGGATCCGGCAGGGATCTGGTGGGCCACTGTGAGAGCAGGATACTGGGCTGGACGGGCCACAGGCTCCGCTTACGTGTTCTGAAGGCCCAGAGGAAGCTGCCCAGGTCCCCGTCAGTGGCGTAGCGTGGGGGGTGCAGGGGGGCTGGCCGCACCGGGCGCAACATCTGGGGTTAGGGTTAGGGGGCGCAAATCCACGGGTTAGGGGGCACAAATTACTTGCCTTGCCCCGGGTGCTGACAACCCACGCTACGCCACTGGTCCCCGTCCCTTGTAGGTGGGATGCAGTGACCGGCTGTGGTCTCGCCCTGGGCCCCCTTGGGGCAGCCGTTGGACCTGCCTCACTCGAAGAGAGCAGCTGGATCCGGCCAAAGTCCCACCTGGACCCGCTTTGCACAGTGGCCTGACCAGGTGCCCCCATGGGAAGCAGACCAGCAGGGTCCCAGCAGGGAATGGGGCCGGAAAGCCGTGAGGCTCTGCGGGTGAGAAACAGGGCTGGGTCTGTAGCCAGTGCTTGGGGGTGGGGGGCTGCCTGGGATCCAGAGTGGCAAGGGGGGGCTATAGATGCACAACCCACCTGTGAGGCGTAAAAGAGGCAGACACGGAGAAATAGGAGGCTCTCAGCGGCTTCCAGAGGGAGACACGCTTCTGAGAACCAGCTGCTGAAACTGCGGGGGGGGGGGGGGAGTTTTCCTGCTTCCTGGTTTCCCATTGGGTCATCTGGAGTAGAAGGGCCCTTGCCTGAACCAGCGGTATCATTTTGATCATTTATTGAATTTATATACTGCCCTATACCCGGGGGTCTCGCGGCGGCTTGCAGAATAAAATCAAGATATAAAACCACAAAATACCTAATAAAGCTAAAAAGAACAACCCAATAGCCCCCCCCAAAAAAACACATTTTAAAAGGGTATAGGATGTAAATCGGATCAACCAAATGCCCAGTTAAAAAGGAATGTTTTTGCCTGGCGCCTGAAGGTGTATAATGAAGGTGCCAGGCGAACTTCCCTGGGGAGAGCATTCCACAGACGGGGAGCCGCTGCAGAAAAGGCCCTGCTCTCGTGTCGCCGCCATCTGGACCTCTTGAGGAGGAGACACACGAAGGAGGGCCTCAGAAGATGATCTCAGGGTCCGGGTAGGGCTCTTCTTATGGACTTAATAATAAAAAAGTTCTGTGACCAACATATCTACTTGCAGTTGCCTGCCTTCCCAGTAACACCACCATGACAAAAATCATTTCCTCCATTTCCTGAAAGGCTGGTGGTTCTCCCTGGCCCCGTTAGATGACACGACAATTAAATGGCACAGCAATTCAATGCCCTCTCCCTCCGCCCTTTGCCACACCCTGTGCAGGCTGGCCAGCAAGGTAGCTCTTCCCTTCACCGGTCGCTGTGGGATACGTGCTTGGGGAAGGGGGGGACGCAGAAGAGAGGAACACCCGCCCACCCCAGCGGCACTAATGGGGTTTGATTGCTGACAGCCAGAGCAGGCTCCCGGGTTCGGCATGAAAAGGGGGTGGGAGAGCCTTTGTACATCTGGCGCCAGAGTCCAGCCTGTCAAGACCTCGTCAAAAGAGGCGGCTCGGTGGCGTGTCCCTTCAACAGCTGGCCCTTCCCCAATTAACGGCACGTTAATTAGGTCACGGGCTTTGCTTGGGCCAGGCCCAGACTCAGGAGTTTGGGAAGGAGCCTGCCCTCCTTCAAGGCTGGAACCTCAGGCACACCTTTTCTTTTCCCGGGAGGGGGGCAGATTGAAACAGGCTCTATAGTTCAGGGCAGGGGGGCCGTTTTGCATGCAGGAGGTCCCTGGGTCCATAACCTGGCATTTCCAAAATGGGCTGGGGAAAACTAATAAATAATAATAATTTTATTTATTCATTCATACTGCTCTCATCTGGCTGGGTTTCCCCAGCCACTCTGGGTGACTCCCAACAAAATATTACAAATTCAATCAAACATTAAAAACTTCCCTAAACAGGGCTGCCTTCAGATGTCTTCCTTTATTTCCTTGACATCTGATTGGAGGGCATTCGACAGGGCGGGCGCCACCACCAAGCAGGTCCTCTGTAACCCCACTTCTTGCAGGGAGGGAGGCCCTCGGAGATGGACCCCGGTGTCCGGGCTGAATGATGGGGGTGGAGACGCTCCTTCAGGTATCTTGTCTGAAACCTTGGAGGTTGTGGCCTGTCAGTGCAGAGCAGGAATGGCCGGGTTGGGGGGGTGAGAGAAGCAGCTCAGGGTCCCAGTGCAGTCGAGACAAGCCTATCTGAGCCTCAGACGTTGCAATGGGTGCAAGTCTTGCCCTCGCAGGCTGCATTTCAATCACACAAGAGTTGAATGGTTCTACACACAGACACAGAAACAAGCAAGCAAGATGGAGCACAGAGCACCTTCCCATTGTGGAAAAGCAGAGGCGGGTGCAGAGGTCAGCCCTGAAGGGGCCACATTACGACTGAGGTGCCCAACCATTGCTTCTTCCACCGCACCTGACTCAGCCCATGGCAGCCAGAGGTCCTTCCGGAGACAGCTAAACCAGTCATTGCAGAAATCACACCTGTGTCCCCCCCCCCCCAATATCCCCAGCCGCATTGCAATATGCATTCAATGATTTGTAGAGAGACTTCCATAATGTCGTTTTGCTTTCTATAATCCTAAGTGATTGTACAGAACCGGAAAGTGTGCCAAATGACTTGGCAAGCATCCACCTCTTAAAAAATAAAAAGCAGCCGGACACAAATGGGGGGAGGACACTGGATCACTCCAACTTTATCAGCAGAAAGTACAAAGCTCGCAATCTCTCAAGTTCACCCCGTAGAAAATCGTCAGGAGTGTTGTGCGGTTGTTTCAGGGCGATGGGTTTTCTGGGCAGATTTTCCTGCTTTTGGGGGGGGGGGCTGGGACTGAA